TTGTAAATTGTTTACAGTGTTTTGTAAGTCTGAAAATCCAGGTGTTTGAATAAATTTGATCTTTAAATGCATTTCACAATTTATTAGCAAGCAAAACAAGGCGAGTGCACGAGATTTAAATACATAACAACCAACCAATATTAATAATGATAATTAAAAAAAAAACCCAGGAAATTACTTGTAATTAAATATAACTCGTTTTTAGTGATGAGGATTAATTTCCATCCTGAAAAGTATACGCATATTTTCGTCCCGGCTTTGATTTGAAGTCAAGTTCCCCTGAATTTCAAATAACGTGCGCACATACAATCCCTCAAGTTTCTCGCTTAGCAATTTTTTTTTATTCATGATAACTTTCTTTCTGCAAGCCATAACTTTTACGCTGATTTATTCTGATTGACTTTTAGCAGTTTAGTTACACTTCAAATATAATTTATTGCTTCCATTTGGCATCGTATTTAATTAGTCCTAAGACATTACATATAATCACACCAGAATTCAGACTGAAATTTTATTTTAAAACATGTACGAGGTTTACGTACAAAAGCATGCACTTTGTGTTAAATCTACTTTTAAATTCGTATAGACTTGAAGTCATTTGGAGAGAACTAAACGGGAAACAACGTGACGTTGCCTTTGTGATGTAACTGACGTCATAATCAAATGCGCACAAAACAACCGCTCGAATCGTCCAAATTGTGTACCAAAATTGATGACAAATGCAAACCCGCGACTTACCTTAATTTATGTCAAAGAGCCTTGTATTGTCAGAGGAAATACATATTTGAACTATTTGAATCAAATATCATTAAAAAATTAAATATTTGGGGGGTTTTTTGGAAAAACAGACAGAAGCAAGGACGAACCGACCGACGTACACAAAAAAAAAAATAACGGGATTTCAAAAAAAAAATATGAATTTAAATTTGGTGAATGTAAGGAGACAACCTAGCTTGTATGCGGATGAAAATTTTTAGCTAGATAACATATCTATTTTTCAGATATTGTTAAAGTTATATTTTAGAATAATTAAAAGTTTTAATACTAATCAATTAAGTGCATAAAGTTATACAATGTACTAGTATCAAATTCAGGGAATTTAATTTGTTGTTGTTGTTGTTCTGCAAAATGATTTAATTAGCCATTACATTTTTCCTTTTTATTTAACCGTGTTATTATTTTTTATAATTTTAGGGCGAGTATTTAACTATGGAAAAAATGTCAGTCAGCACACAGTGCATGGAAGGACAATGTTCGAAATGTCAGGAGGACCCAGCATTCTACTGTGATACGTGTAAAAATAGCCTGTGTGCACAGTGTAAAGAGAAACATGTAACAGATCTAGATACCATTTACCATAATGTTGTACTTTACCGAGAAAAATATCATAGCATCACAAAAAAAGAGACTTGCAATACACATCTAGATAAAATGTGTAATAAATATTGCAAATCATGTGAACTACCTATATGTGTTAAATGCAAAAGCCACCGAAAACATCAAATCCTTGACATAATCACGGAATATAAAACGAAGCGTGAACAATCCAGTGACACAAAATCAGAAGTAAAACTCTTTATAATAGCTGCTTTCTTCTGGCAAGAATTAAATCTGATATTAACAAATGCCACACAGATATATCTAGCCTTCAGTCACAAATGCAAGAAAAAGTAATAAGGCTGAAAAACCTCATTTGCAATGTGATATGTGATGTCAAAATCAAACAGAAAAGTTTAATGGTCCGAAAATTACAAAAACAAATTAGAAAAATGAGTCATGACTATCTCAGCATACAGAAACATGAACAAAAATTTGAACAGATAGCAAATGCACCAGTACGGTTCCTTTCATTCATAGAGAAAAATCGTCTTCCACTGATAAGGGACACGCTTTATCTTACACAGCATTGTTGGCCTTCTCTGAATGAGAAAATAAAAATGAAAGACTTGATAAAATTACTGAGTGAATTACAGATTACAGACACAGACAAAAGACAAGTTAAAACTGTAAGCTTGTTGAAAATGATTTCAACACTTGTGTTGCACAAATCTGTAACCGTAAAAGGCATCAATCGTGTAAATCACATTTCCTTTGTGACATCAGATAGGGTCTGGGTCAGTGAAGACAACGATCTCATCTTGGTAAACACAGAAGGTGACACTCTACATCATCTGACTGATGTAAATTGTAAATGGGGAGGACACACAGTGAACAGTTCATGTGAGCTTCTTTATATAGAGAAGGATGGTAACGTTAAAAAATTATCGAATGATAACAAAAGAATATCTACCCTGATTAAAAGGAGAACAATGTGGAGACCATCCTGCATATACTCTTCTCCTATAAATGGAGATCTGCTGATAGCGTCAATGTATATTGATGGGCCACCTGGATGGGGTACCTGGAAAGCCAAGGTTGAAAAGTATCACCAGTCAGGGAAATACAAAAAGACAATAATGCACATCAGAAAAGGTCAGAAGTTACTGGATCAGCCCATGTACATTACAGAGAACCACAATGGGGATATAATAATGTCTGACTGGATTCAAGGTGTTGTGGTAACAGAGCAAAGTGGAAGACATCGATTCTCATACAAAGGGCATCCACCAGGACCACTGTTAAAGCCATGTGGAGTATGTTCAGACGCATTATTAAACATCCTGGTGTGTGATGATATTTCTCAAACAGTACATATGATTGACAACAATGGTAGCTTTCTGTCATTTCTATTTACAGAACAACTAGGGATAGTGATCCCGATGAGCCTGTGTTATGATGACAAAACTCACCTCCTCTGGGTTGGTTGTCAAAACAATGACAGAGTTTTGGTGTATCGATATATCGTTAGGCAATACAGTTTGACAAGTCCTTGGAATTATATGTCTTCAACAATACAATAATTGTCCAATTTGTGGTCACATGATTTATCTTTGCTGTAAATAAATCACCGGGGCAATATTGAGATATACTAATATACTTATTGATTACATGTATATGATTATATAAATCTGAGTTATGTACATTTTATTTAATGAACATTGTAATTATCCGTGTTAACCCTTCGAGCGTTACTTGATTTGATCACGAGTCTTACTTCATGTCATTAACCCCAATGATACTCTAAGAATATTATCTTATATAAAATATGTATGTTAATAAACCACATTAATTTAAAATAACAAAACAGTGATGGTTTACCTGTTGCGTGGTCTCCTACGTTGTGAAGAAATTTCAAATATTTCAGAATATTTTTCTCTCATATATCGTATTGAAAAATTTCAATTTGCAGGCATATATCAAATAGCATACCAACAGTAAATCTTTAATTTTGACATTTGAAAGTGTTCTTTTTTTTTTTTTTTTTTTTTTTTTAAGTAGAATCAGCTCATATACAGTCAAAACTGCCATAGCGACCCACTGTATTAAGCGACTCACTGTCACATGTGACAGTAAAAATTCCCCCCAACGCTTTTCCCTATGTATTTTACCTGTATTAAACGACCACCTGTCTAACGCGACCAACGACCGTGATTTTCCTGACCATTTTTAGTAATTTCAAGCAATTTTACCTGAATATAACGACTACAAAATTTCCGATTCCTACTTTCAATTTCGATCGAGTATGCTTCGTTTTTGGTTCAAAACGACTACAGATACGCTTTTATTTCATTTAATAATTATATAATGCGAGTTTTACGAATAAAACAACATTAATACATGATTATTTTTACTTACGCTTTGATATTTATTGAATAAACATTAAAATCTAAAACACAAACATCACGTTTTTTCTCTCCAGTGATCGGGCGCCATTTTGAAATTAAACCTTTGAGGTCGATCCCGATATCATTTCATGCCATAAGGGCCAATTGGCTATTTAGCTGTAAAACCTGCCTGTTTAACTTTAATTAACAAGTAACTAAATCATAGATGTTTATTTAAGTGCATTGTGTCACCAATGGGTACACATGTATGTAAACTCATGCTAGCTAGCACCCACACCATGTGATAATTGAAGTGATTTAAACAGGCAATTAGACACGGTAGTTCAGTAATGAAAATAAATTAATCAGGTTAAATAAATATTTCAGTCATAAAAATAATTTAATTTGATACCAAGTGCATAACTAAAAAAACTTATTAGGGAAAAAACCTTTGCAGCTTTTTTATGCTGTATCAAAAAATATTAATAATTTCAGATATTCACAATATTTCCCAATGTTCAAATAACTCACGTGCGGATCAAGATTTTTTTTATTTCTTATTAGGACAATTGTAAAAGCATTTTAGAGATGAGCAGTACCTATTAAAAAGTGGAAATAAACTTAAGGTGTTATAAAATAAATTCAACATACACATGTGATATTTTCAGCATCGTATATTTGAGCACTGCGGAAAATAAGCAACCTGTATTAAGAGACCACCTGTCATATGTGACCTTTTTTCCTTTCTCCGTTGGAAGGTCTCTTAATACAGGTTTGACTGTATATCTTTTGCAATAATCATCTGTAATCTTTCTAGAAAGGAAACAAAGTGACACATTTCAAAAGAAATCCTAGTACATGTACTCATTAAACACAGAGGGGCCTTCATTCAAATACGTAAAACGTTCTGGTTAAGCCATCACAACATTGGCAACCAACATGTACTTTAGCTTGAAATGATAAATGTAACTGAAAAAAAAAATCAATCGGATGGATTTCCCAAAAGATCCTAAACCTAAGATTTTTCTTTGTACGGTCTGTTGTTTTCTCTTCAGTTTTTATCATAACTCAAAAATGCCTTTTTTTTGGAAGATTTGATACGCTCAAAGGATTTTAAAAGCTTTTAAAACACTGGTTTCTCCAGGGCAATTCATAAACTTTTATCTCTGCTGCCCATTAAATAAACAAGTCTTTTTCAAAACATACCGCGCTTTTTTTTCATTTAATTAATGAATTAATGAACTGTAATTATAATCATTTGCTTTAAAATACTTTCAAGCCAATTAAAATTTTGTTTCAGAAATTCATATATTTAATTTTCATTTAATTTATACGGGGAAAGTGTTGCGAACCTCATGAAATTTTGCAAATAATTATAGCTATATTTAATGTAGTTGACCAGCAAAATATTCGACCTGCCGTCCAACAAATTACATTTAAGCAATTAAAAAGGGGAATCCATTAGGATCACAGCACTTTAAAAAAACATATAGTGTTGAAAAGGATTATTTAAACTAAGATTTTTAACTTGATTATGCCCTTGCAATATTGGAATTTATAGATGACCTCTAAACTGCAAGCATCATTGCAAAAATATGTTACTTCGACATCACGCAATAATGTCCTCAACATGTAAATGCGAACCACATTCCATTTTTTAATATCAATGAAGTCCTAATAAGAAGTGCCTATCCTTATAAAGTATGTATGTTTATCTTAAAAATCGACGATATTTCAATAATATGTAACCTTAACTGTACTGCGCACTTAAGAATATTTTGCAAAACACATCAGGAGACTTAGGGCATTAAATATCCCCTGTTGACCGCTCAAATCCGCTTTGACCGAGTTGTTGAACTTTCCGACGTCGAATTTAGTGTGATATCAAAGAGAGAGACTACCGATTGAAAGGAAACGTATATCAGCATAAGTACGATCCATTGATAGGATATTTTTGTTAACAAGGTCATTATAAGGACCAAAGAATCCATGAAACCCTCATATAAATTGAGGTCGTTGAAGCCTGCCTATGTTTAAAAACTGTTCATATTCCGATGCATGGTCTTGAGTATTGAAAAATTGGGAGATGCAAACATCATATGCAGTTGCAGCTGCTTCTTGAATTAGGAATGTTTACGATAGAAAAAATGTAATTATCTTGTTCTTCTTACAATATAGTTTTTCTTTGTTAGCTTCTTCATTTCTTTCTTTTTTGTAAAAGAATGGGCGGACTTAACGCCCTATTTTGGATCTTTTTGCGACTCCTCTACCCAGCTGTAAATGAAGTGAATCCAGTATATATTACGTGCAATAGGAAGAGCTACATATACTTGGTTATATAAGGTTGAACATTTGTGCAAATACAATGCCATGTTCTCATGTATCAAAATTGAAGCAACGATACATGAATATCGTCTTCCGGAATTCGACATGTACCCGGAGTGGTTTTTATGTCATACATGTGTACAATCAATATTTATAGGAGGCGGGGCTATCGATCGGAGTCATTGTTGACATTTCTCTCTCTATTCCTCTCTCTCTCCAGAAATTCGAATACGTATTTAGCATATTACAGCGACGCTATTATTTTAAAAATGTGATGACACACAACATTAAGGACAGATGATACAAACAAATTTTTTCTTTGAAAAAGATTTAATATCATGTCACAAGTTAAGAAATGTGGATGGTTATTAGAATTTTTTCTCCTAAGAACTGGAATATGAAAAAGACTTTGAAATTATTAGTAGTATTTCAATGAAAAAACAAATATAGACAAATAATATTCAGTAAAGGTTTACAGGTGAAAACAAATTTCAGAATATGTTATCTTGGCGCTAAAAGTACAATATAAACTTTAGAAAAATATACCAAGCCAGGTGAATTTTAAGAGGAAGATCAAAATGACAAAAATCAGCAATATCACATAGGCTGATTTTTACCATTAAGCTTTTCCTAATAAAATTGTTTGTATCATCTGTCCTTAAAACAATATTCATTTTGCTAAATTCTGAAAACGTCAACAAACCACGCTCAAAGACATAATTTAGATCGAGGTCAGGTTGAAGAATACAGTGTAACTATTTTCACGAGTACAATCGCAAGTGGGCATCACGTGATGAATTGTAATATTAAACAGGTCAATCGAAGACATAACAATGAAAGCGAGAAGTTTCTTTCGAACATGTTTTTTGTTAAATTAAGTGTGAGCACACGTTTGTCGGCTCTTCTCCTTTTAATATAACATTATTTTGTTCAATATACAACTACAGTTTTCTTAAGAACAGCCGACAAACATGTGCTGACTATCTATTCAGAGGATAAAAACGCGTGACCCTGATTATCTATTGATAGTAAAGAAATCTGCAGGCACCATGCCTTCGATATTTATTTAGTTTACCTCGAAAAAAGCGTTTTAAATTCATATCCGTGCCATAAATACATAGTTGAGATATCGGGGGTTTATATGACGGAAAAAATTAACATTTTGTGAGACTTATATTTACGACATTTTTTCTGGCCAGTTAAGTCCACCCATTCTTTGATGCATTTTAAATGGTTTTCTTAAAAAAGAATCATTGAGAGAGAGAGAGAGAGAGAGAGCGACAGAGAGAACGACAGAGAGAACGAGAGAGAGAACGAGACAGAGAAAGAGAGCATGAGAGAGGACAATAAAAATAAGGGTTCATACATCCTCTCAAACCTACGGAAATTTTTATGTTTAAACATTTGTACAAATAAATGCATTGCTTTATTTGTAGTGGAATTATTTTTATACTTACTTTATTTCGAAATATCTATAGTATAAAAAAAATTGTTATCCTAGCTAAAGTTCCAGGAAATCTTTGCCGGTAGACCGGAGATTTTGATACATTCTTAAAGAAAGATTATCATAACATAAGCCTTTTCTTTGCATGATCCAGTTTAATGATGTGTACAGAGTTGCTATTTAGATAATTGTCATCTGACTTTGAAATGAGGTAAAACGATGCTGATTATAAAACTTTTGTTTTCTGACGTTTGTATTTTGCAGTTTTGCTATGCAGTGCAACTGATATAGTTAAAACTTTCTTTTTAATAATCTTTCAGCACAAAAATACTGATTGCTTTATAAATACTAATGACTTTTACTCTTTATGTAATTTTGGTAATGTTCTTTAAATTGATTTAAAAAGCATGCGTCTAATTAAGATTTA